AGGGGACAACCAGCACCGCCCGCCCGTCATCTGATTGATGTGGATCCTCCATGGCCCCTCGGAACTGAAATCCAGGCTGCTGAGAAGGGCCTCGTTTGCTTTCTTCAGCCCTTTTGTACATATCTTCAAGACTTGGGGAGTGAGAGCTGTGGGAGGGAAAGCATATAGTTGTAGGAACTTGGGGAGATGACAGGACATTGATATTAGGATAGTAGCTGTAGAATAAACTTTTTTGTTCACTTGAAGCATTAGAAAGCATACATTCTTTATCAGCGTCAGACACAGGGAAGAGTGTCTCCTTGAATCTGATGTGTGTGGTGAAATTTCACAACAGATTATTTATTCTATCCTGAACATACAGATTCATTACAATGTGCCTCCTATTTCATACATAAACACCACTTATCTAGAACTGATTTGCTTGCATTTGACTTCTACTGGAAGTCATTTTTTAGTCCTTGTGGTCATCTAAAGGGGTGTCTGGTGGGCATATTCACTGAATGCTTCATTATTTCTGGTGATCTTTCTTTGATGTTTTTCTTTCGGCATGCACAATTGTTTTTTGTTACGTAACTTGCAAAGAAAACCACTGTAGTTGTCTATCTGTTTCTCCACTGGTTGCAGCTGCTTTGTGCATAACTTTACAGCCTGTTATCTTTTTTGCTAGTTAGTCCTAAGCTCTATTGACCAGCTTGAGGAGAACTGAAAAATTCTAGTCTCTGTGTTTTTTAACAATAATAAATTTTTCTTGAGGCTACCTCTTTTATACAAGTCTTAATACTTCATTTTCCATGACAAAGTACTCCAAAAACTGTAACAGTTAATACAAGCAATGATACCGAATGATTTCGGTGACTGTTATGCCCCGAACGCACAATCCCGAGGCCGACAAACGCTGATATCCACGGCCACAGCTCCAAGGAGCAGCAGAAACTCAGCGAGTGCCGCTCCCGGCTGCGGCATTTCCCCTGCACTGCAGTTCCGGCCGCAGCCGCCAGGGGCGCTGCTGGCGGCCGGCGAGCCGGGCAGCCGCAGTGATTCCCCGCGCCTGCAGGGGGCGCTGCGGGGCGGGCTCGGCCGGCGCGCGGCAATGGCGGCCGGGCCGGGCCGGGCCGGGGTGGGAGAACGGCCGGCGGGACAATGCCGGGGCTGGACGAGCTGTATCCAACCCACAGCGGGGCCGGGAACCGCAGGCGTCTCGGCAGGCAGGGGGCGGAGAGCTGCGGTGCAGGCAATGCTCGGAGCAGTGCCGAAGAAGCGGCGGGGGAGCGGCAGCGGCAGGGAAGGGACGGGAAAGGCGCCCTCGGGATCCCGGGGTTTTCCCTGAGGCAGCCGAGCAGATGGAGAAAAGCCCCTCTTGTAGTGAGGTGGGGTGTTAATGTGCTCTCCGTGCAAAGGTCGCTCTTACGAGCAGAGCTGCACTCACGGTAGAAGAAAGGCAGCAGAAGGCAGAGCCCCGCAGTGGTGACGAATTCTCCCCACAGCGGCCGCAGCCTCTCTCCCCTCCGAATGTCGAGAGCACGAGAGTCTGAACCCAATGTTCTTTTCCCAATGCAAAGCTCGAGGTATCTCTGCCCTCCACGGGAAACCTCAGGTAAAGCCAGAGTAGCCAGCGGCACCGCTCCCCTGAGCTGACAACTTCTTTCTCCTCTCTGAAGTATCAGTCATTTCCGTGTGCTAGCAACACATAATGTGGGAAAATTCCTAATGAGAAAAACAAAGCCAGCTCCTAAGACCCCAACAGAGGCCATTCCTGCTTGCTCCTGTGCCAATTTGCTCATCTCTGAGGGGGCACAACTGGGTAAGGAAATGGAAATGGGAAAATCCTTTAAGACTTACGGCATATTCTCAAGGGGCCAGTATGTGTTTTCCTCAGGGGTGTCCAGGGGCTTTTTCAGCCCCCAGTGCTGTCCCGGTGCTGTCCCGGTGCTGTCCCGCTCCTGTCCCGCTCCTGTCCCGGGTCTGTCCCGCTGTCCCGGCGCTCCCCTCACGCCGCTCCTCGCGCCGCAGCACAGCGCCCCCGTGCGGCCCCGCCCCCCCTTGCCCGCTGCCCTCGGGCCCGGCTCGGCCCCCCCCGCTCCCCCCCCGCCATGGCGGAGGAGAAGCCCCGGGTGAGGCGGGAGAGGAGCGGGAGGAGCGGGCACGGGAGGGAGCGGCCGGCACGGGGCAGCGAGGAGCGGGAGGAGCGGGCACGGGAGGGAGCGGCCGGCACGGGGGCAGCGAGGAGCGGCCGCCCCTCCTCGCCCCGGGGCGCGGCTGCCGTGCGGCCTCACCGAGGTGTCCAGGCCGGGGGCAGCGGGGGCGGCCGAGGAGCCGCAGGATGCGGCGGGCGGGGTCCGGCCCGAGCGCGGCTCGCCCGGCCGGGCTCTGAGCCCGCCGCGTTTTTTCATCCAGGAAAGCGTGAAAGCAGAGAACGAGCACATCAACCTGAAACTTTCTTTGCAAAGGACACAAAATTATTCCTAGACGTGGTGTCAATATGTAGGGCTACAGTTCAGCAGGAAGATAAAAGATATATTGCAGGAAAAGTGATGGAAGAGGCAAAAGATTCAACAGATCCTACGCTGTATTCCAGAGCTGCTGTATTTGAAGGGGAAAATGCTCACTGGGGCTGAGAAATGATCACCCAGGCATTCCTCATCAGTTTGAAGAAAGCAGGAGCCTTGGGGGAAGCAGAACTCTGCAAATAAGCTCTGCCGTGCGAGGAGGTGCTTTTAACTGTTGTTCCAGGTTTTTAAGTAGAGGATGTTGATCAGCAGCATGAAGCTGAGCTCGAGGCTGATCATCAGCAGTGCAGCCAAGGTGTCAGGCCTGGGACCAGGCCTCTTCATTCGTGATAGTGGCCTGATTAATGGGACCCAGGGCACCCTCAGCAGTTTGGCTGAATTTCCTGCAGTGGGAGGAGCTGCTGAGACACCAGAAAAGGACCAAAAGGACCACACCAAGCAGGAGAAATGGGCTGATGGAGCCTCCTGAAGTTCAGCCAAGGGCCGAGCAGTCCTCCCCCTGGGGAGATACAGCACCAGGACACGCCATGGGAAGCAGCTCTGCAGAGCAGGTCCTCTGCAAGTCCTGGTGGTGGGACTGGCACAGCCCCACCGCAGCAGGGAC